CAATGGTTGGACCTTCGCGGCCTCAGATCGTTTTGTTTGGATCCTCCATTGTTCAGATGAGTTTCGGCCATGGAGGTTGGGGAGCCATTCTCTCTGAGGTTTACGCTCGCAAGGTATCATCAATCTCTCTCTCGATCACTCTTTGTAACTTCCGGTTTCGATATTCATCGTACGTTTGATTTAGTAACTAAGTGGATCGGTCGCCTTATTCGATTTATATATAATCAAATGATTCTGGGAAAACTATGAGTTTGGTTCAACGTAATTGACTACTCAAGGATTTGCCAGAAGAAGCACGGATTACGAAACCTAATACTAGTATTGATTTCTTCATTTCGATGTTTGGTTATGTCAAAATGAAAGCAAGCTTTTTGCCGTGCTTGTCTTGGTTCCAGAAAAGAAAAATGCATTTAATGCAAAACTAAATTTGGTGGGGTTTTTGGGGAGAGATATGAATGTTGGTTCTTTGAGTAAGTAAAACATGTGACTATTGTCTTTCTGTGAACAACGTGTATAGGCCGACATTATACTGCGAGGATATTATGGATGGAACTCAACTCGTGCTTTGGAAGTTGTCGACAAAGTTTTTCCCCAGGTACTGCGTTTGCTTCTTCTCTCTTGACAAATGTTAATACTAAGATTGTTGTTGGTCTTTATAGTTTGTATATGATGTCCCAATATAAATTCTCAAAAGGATCACACAAGCATCTATTTTAGTTCCATGTTCTTGGTTTAGCATATAAGACACTGCTGCATCTGTAGCCAGGAAGATGTCTCTTATCTGTCTGGTTCGAGTTTTCTTGATTGTTAAAGGTGCTTTATGGGACTCTAAAATGAATTAATTCTCCATGTAACTATCATTGATATATATGGTAGAATGAGCCAGCTTAAGTTATCTGTGTACAAAGCTTCTGTTTTTTTCCATCTCGTTGCCTAAAATTGGGAACTTGTAAACAAATGCAGGATGCTGCGGTACAACCTTCTCTGGTAGTTGTTTATTTTGGAGGAAACGACTCAATGGCCCCTCACCCTTCTGGTCTAGGACCTCACGTGCCTCTTACTGAATACGTTGATAACATGAAGAAGATTGCTCTTCATCTTCAGGTTACTTCCTTACAGTATTGATGTATTAATCTTTCTAATATTATCTGTAACATTTAAAAGCCTTTCCAAGTGGTAATTTCTTTCCTATAAAGACTTGGACTAAAGGCTGTTTATCTTCCATTATGTACTTTGAATCTTTCTTTCTATATCATTGCGGGCTGCAATCATAACATCATCCTCTATGTTCTGTTTCAGAGCCTTTCAGACTCAACTCGTATCATATTTCTTAGTTGCCCTCCAGTGGACGAGGCCAAAGTTCGTCAGAACCAGAGGTAACTTCCTTGCATTTCTCCACTGATCCTCTTATCCGCTCCCGATATTAATATATCCATGCTTCATTTTTCTCTCACATCAGCCCATACTTAAGTGAGGTGATCCGCACAAACGAGCTCTGCAAGACTTATTCAGACGCTTGCGTGGAGCTTTGCAAAGAGCTTGACTTACAAGTAGTTGATCTCTTCTCCACTCTTCAGAAAGCAGATGATTGGGAAACCGTTTGCTTCACGTACGTATTTTGGATATGACTTTCTCAAAGTTTTCTGCATACTAAAAATGCGATAGTCTGAAATGTTTAAATGTATTATGGTTTCTTACAGAGATGGCATTCATTTATCAGCACAAGGAAGCAAACTGGTAGCTGCAGAGATACTGAGAGTGGTTAAAGAAGCGGAATGGAGACCGTCCCTTCACTGGAAATCGATGCCAACCGAATTCTCAGAGGATTCGCCTTATGATCTTGTTTCAGCAGATGGTAAAACGACGGTTAACTCTTCGGAATGGACTTATTTCTGGGAAGAACAATGGGATTAAACATT